GTTCGGCAGCCGGGAAAACCGCTCCCTCCGCGCTTTCCCCTTCGTTCTGCCCCCAGCAAAGAGCCTCTTTCCTCGCCCACGCTTTCTATGCAAAACTTCTTGGCGCCCTCCGGAAGATTTCCTGGTGAGGTCGCAGATCTTTCGCTTTGAAGCCCCTCCTCACCAAACGGAGCTCACCCTTGTCGCAGCCGAAATCTCCGTTTCCTTGTGCCGCGGGTCGGGAGCTGTTAGAACTCGGAGGGGGTCGCGCTCGCAGCGTCCCTCGTTTCAGGTGGTTTCTCTCGCTCGTTGAGTGGCTGTGGAGGTGGTGGCTCATCCTGGGAGCTGCTTTTTCCCTCCCAAGGTGGTTGAGTTGGGGGTTTGGCTTCTGCCCGGGCTGGGGGGGGGGGCGTAGCGATGCCCGAGGGCCGTAGCGATGCCCGAGGGCCGTAGCGATGCCCGAGGGCCGTAATGACTTTCCACGCTAACGTAGACCAAAAGGTGGAGACACCTGCCCAGGGCTACAGACCCACAGGTTGTGGGAAGGGAGATGGAGCCTGCGTGGCCCCCAGCCCGCTCTGGCACCTCCAAATTGCCGAGGGTCCGGCAGGACGCGGTGTGACGGGCTGTGGGGAGGTGTGTGTTGCACCGGCGGGGGGGACACCGCGGGTGTATCTCTGGCTAGGGAAACCAGACCCCAAAACCCCCGAAGTCTGGCCGGGAGGCGGCTGGCGAGGGTCACAGCCCCTAAAGCAACGGCAGCAAACACGGGCTGGATCCTCGCCTTGTTTTCTCCTCTTGATAGACCAAAAATAATCAAGAGTTTAAAAAAAGCCAGCCTGGGCGGCAGCGGCCAGCTCCCCCGTCGCACAGCCGGAGCGCCCCGTCTCTGCGTCGTGCCCTTTTAGGACAAAGCCGCAGTGTCAACACTGGGATTTTCGTCTCAGAGCCACCGAAATCCCTCTCAAAATACCCCGGGGCGCGCTCTGAAGCTGGTGCTTTGGTTTTGGGGTTGGTTTGTTGAGTTGTGTTGGGTTTTTTTGGTGGCCGTGATTTTCCTCCCGCTTCTCGTTAGCGCCGCTTGGAGCGGCGAGAGGCCAAGCGGCGTGCCAGGCGCCGGGAAGGCCCCTCACCATCGCATACGCACGGTGTGTCGGTGTCATGCCGGCGAACGCCCAGCGGAATGGCGTTGCGCTTGCGCCGCGAGCTGTTTCGGCTGCCCGAAGAGCAGGGAGAGCCGCGCTGCCGGGCTCCTCGGAGGAGGGGAACCGCGCTGCCAGCCGGCAGAGCTCGACACCTCTTCTTCCTACGGCGCTGTTAAACTTTCCTGCTGTTCTCCCCACACCCCGAGACAGAAAACCACCCAAACCTCTGCTTTCTTCTGAAAAACAGCAGCCGGTTTCCGCAGCACGTAAGACGGGAGAGGGGCAGCTGCGGTGGTTTGCTCCTTCTTCCTACGGCGCTGTTAAACTTTCCTGCTGTTCTCCCCACACCCCGAGACAGAAAACCACCCAAACCTCTGCTTTCTTCTGAAAAACAGCAGCCGGTTTCCGCAGCACGTAAGACGGGAGAGGGGCAGCTGCGGTGGTTTGCTC